ATCGTAAAATCTTTATATTATTGTACTTCAAGAATGCGAACACAATGTAAAAAATTGACAAAATAAAAACAAGGATGAAAGTCGTCTCTTAAACATAAATTACACAAACTTCTTTTATTTAATCATATTTTATCTAAGTTTTATGATATTAGTAACATACTCTTTCAAAGTTATTTTGTGTGTTATCATATATAACTAGTTTTTATATAATTTTTTAGCTGTTTCAATATTTTATTTGTATATTGTACTATAACTTTAGCAATCTTGAAATCACTAAATACTTTTAAATTTAATTGAGATTGTGTTACTTTAAAATTAATTATTATTTTCAATTTATAATTTTACTTTTATACAACTAGAACAGTTGTATAATAATAAGAACTATTTATTTAGAAATTTATTCATCATAAAATATATTGTTAACTTTTGATGTATGTTTAAGATTGTATGAATTATTTTAATAAACTAATCATATTTCACAATGGTTGTTTGCTTGATTTGCATTTCAAATGATATATTTTTATTAATTAAAAGTATTATTACCATTACAGCAAATTATCTAGCTGAAGTCTAGTTAACACAACAAATCATACAAATCCGAAGTTATGATAATAGTTTAATAATTTAAGTATCTACAATCTCTCATAATATTTTTAAATAAGTCATTGTTTAATTATTCGTATTATGAATTATTTATATTTTATTAAATCAATTAAAAATATTTTATGGAAGTAAACAATTTTAACAAATGTTAAAAAAAATAACTAAAATTATATCATGGTAGATTAATATGTGTAAGACAATGATAGTAACACATTAGTATGTGTTGCCTCTTTCTAATATTTTTTTCTCGGGCAGCATTGCTTGGTAAGCATTCCAGTTATTATGTAAAGTTCAATGGATATTACTTTCAGGTAACGGTTGTTGATTCTATTGTTGAAAATTAGTTTTTATCAAGTTGAATGCAAACAATTACAGCGACGTCTAGTTACTGCTTCCACGTAGGTGCAGCGGCAGTTTTTAGGAGATAGGAAAAAGGACCGCTTACTTCCATCTTGGATTTTTTTTGTGTTAACTGTTATGTTTTGTAAGTTGTATTATTTTCATGATACATGTTCAAACTTTTTTTTTAAAAAAAAAATGTTTTTATGTTTTTATTTTTTTAAGCATCAGCGTGAAACATTGAATTATACGAGTGCGTTATCAAAAAATACAGACCCACTAGAATTAATAAGGTTAAGCTAATCGGATTTGATCGAGTTTTTTCAGATTATAGTAAAATGTATGGACTTTTTACTATATTTTATATTCTAAGGAAATAAACTTATTTAAATTATGAAATAAAAAATAAAAGTTTTGTCATTTATAATATAACCATAAACCTATTGTATTCTTTATTTGATATATGTAATTATGTTGGGAGCAATAAATTGAAAATAGCCCCCTCCCTTGATGTTTTATTAAAACTACGTAGACACTAAACATTTTTACAATAACATGTAGCTTTTTATTATAAAATCAATGTCCGAACGATTGTTTTATTTTTATTATTCAAAATCGAGCGAGCCGCTTCCACAACGTACGAGATTATATGAATCCCCCTGTTTAAGAATAGACGTATGCAATAAAACGCAATTCGAAGAAAACAATAAAAAATTGTTTTTACGCTACCAGTGATACATGATGAATAAACCAAAAGGTAAAAAATAAATTAATTCGGCAAGATACACAATTTAGAGAATAAAACTATGTTTTAGCGAAGGGTGTAGATACATAGATTTTCTGGACTTATGTCGTTTCTACAATTGACAATTCTCCGTGGTATAAATTCACGACTGAATTACTATTGGTCCATACTAAACTTACATTTATTCTAAAATATACGTAATCAGCCACAATTATCCATGTAAAATATTATAATTAAAATATTATTTTCATTTTTCGTTTACGATAGAACAAAAAGAAGTAGTAGATTAATGACAATAAACTAATTTTATTGATTATTAATATTTTTAATTAAATTGAATTTTAATTGATTTCATTAGTATAATACAAATAGTAAACTTGTATTTTTTTAGATATTATTATTTAGGTATATTAGATACAATAAAAAAAGTTTGTCTTGTATTGTTAATAGTCATGGGTTTAATACTCATCCAGAGCTATGTCAGTTGTTTTTCATTGATAAATTATCTGCTAGAACTTCAAAAAATGAGACGGAATGTTCTGCTCAAGCGGTTTTAAGTCTAAAATTTTATTTTTGTTAAATGGTACACGGTCAGGATTGCGACATTTTTCAGGAACTCTGGTCGAATGGAGTTTTTACTGTTCATATTAAAATCGAATATATCCACAAATAGGCTCTCTATGAAATTTTTAACTTTTTTGATACCGGGAGTCCCCGGAAACAATAAAATTCGCGGTAAGTTGAAATTTTACAACTTCGTTTGTCGTTTTTCGGAACATTCTTGCTCGTGGATGGTTAGAATATTATAAATAATATTTACTGTGTATTATTTTTATGGTATACCATACACTACTTTTGAAATTGAGAATATCTTACGTTTTTACTTAACTTACCCGAAAACGATTGTTATATGTCACCGTATACGTCACCGTAATAATAAAACACATGCACTCTTCGACAGAGTTGACCCGATCACAGAGTTAAATGGCCACAAAATTGTGGCTTAATGAGAGAAAAGGATGCCCTTGAATAGGTAAATAATGAATTATGGAGAACATTGTTTCTTATAAAAAAATGTTCTTAATATTTTAAAATCGATACAGCGTTAGTTGATAATTCTGTAAGGAAGACTTAATTGCTACAAACATAAGAAAAATACGTATAATTATGTGTAATGATAATTTACAGATATTGTACGGCGAAAAAGTTAAAAGCCATTGACAATAACAAACGCACTGAGACATGGTTATTATACTTGCACAGTCACAAATTTGGATTTTTCCAGTTTAGTAATCATTTATAGATGAATACAGAAAAAATATTTAATTTCGATTTATACGTAATGTATGCATACTTTATTGTATTATAAAAAACTTCATTTTTCAATTTAAAATTTAATATTTATCAAAAATAAATCATTTTTTTATTTTACTTATTGTTACAATTATATATTTAATATATTGAATGGCGCTCTAGAATTAAGACAAAACTCAGCATTTTTTACCAGTTCTAAATTTGTTTATTTATGATTTGGATGAACAATTGTCTGTTTACCAATTGGTTTAGAAATAATTTGGCTTTCTTCAAAAATTATATCGATTGAATAGTTATGCAATGAAAGAAGAAGGAACTCTTTAAGATGCCATAAATGACAAATTTATTAAGTTTAAGGAATTTTATTAAGATTTTAAAAATAACCAAAATTTAACAATTCAAATCGAGAAAATTTATATGTATAACTTTAATGAACAGATAATGAAAGATTGTTTTCCTAATATTGAACTAGTTCTTTTCATTTGTATTGTTTTAATGATAACGTACTTCAGTACCGAATAAAAATCGTGTTCCGTTTTGAAACGCATATAAAATAGGACGAAGAGGTAGACTTAACCAATTGTGATGAAAATTTGATAAACCACGCAGAATATGACGGCGTAGGCGTAGGCACACAATATCATATTTAAAGTGAACATATGTATATATATATATATATTTTCATGAAGATACCGACGTCGGATTTCAACAGTAGGTGCGTTCTATTAAAAGGCACTAAATGGCTTTTACTGAATTTTACAGGAGAGCAAAAACGAAATTTAATTATACAAACTCTTCTGTCGACTGTGTCCTATTTATTTTGTCATGTGGACAGATTTTCGTTTAGTTTATTAATGAGTTGTAAATACCGTCATGTTTTTTAAATTATATTTTGCCGTAAGAAATAAAAAACAACTCGGAGAAAATGGTATTGCTGTGCATTGAAACCAAAATATCGAGTGCGTGTAAATACGAACTAATTTTATTTGTCTTATAAATATTTAATACATTTGTATCGCTCATTCTCTATCAGCTATTGTCAAACATTGAAACGTTTTTATTTGTTCGAAATTTATTTTGTTACAACTGTTCGTTTTTTGTAAGCTATAAACGTTATTCAAATCGTATTGTTATTACTACGGATCGAAAAGGGTCCCTTGTAATAAGTGAATTCATAGAACACGTCCGTTTCGGAGCAGTGGTTTTCAATGTTTACGAAAATTCGCACGACAAACGAGACGTTTGGTAAACGACAACTTTTTCGGACTTTTTTTTTATCTGTCATTATTTGATTTGTTTCCCTGTGTTTGAAAATCACCGATTTTTCGAAAAACAAGAACCCCAAGGGTAACTATTACTACTACTACTACTACTATTCAGAGCAGGAGCAGAACTAGGAGGTGGAAGACGATGATTTATCTCTCGCCGTACAATTTTAAAGGATGTAATTTTTTTTTAATTATTAACAACTAATTTTATATTTTAACTTTGTTAGTAACTGATATCCGGTTATAACTCGATAAATATAACTAATTATAAGAAAAAAAAATTCTCGAGAAGAATGTTCGATTATTGGTCTATGACCATAGGCGCAACTAGGGAAAAAAATCAGGAGAGGGGCTACAGCCCTCCTACCAACATTTAAAATAACCTGTAGATCACCCCTACTCTTATATACCATGTTAATATATTTTAGATTCTGAGCCAAGTTGGATTTACTTCAATGTGTCTATTATGTATGTGACACTATTGTGAGTTAAGTATGCTGTACGCAGTATGCCACGTGTAACATGGAATATTTGCTGGGGGGGAGTAAATATTGGTCCGGGGAGCTAAGCCCCCTCCAGTTGCCCCTAGTTGAGCCTATGTCTATGACAGGGCGTGAACTTGACATTTTCCCCGGGCGTAGAAATTCCTAGTTCCGCCTCCGACTACTGCTACTACTACACGCGTCGGTATCGTTACGAGTACGGACAACGAACAGGTGGTGTGCACTCACTTGGAAATGGTGGCGAAGGCGTCGCGTCTGAAGCTGCTGGTGAGTATGGTGTACAGGAACGGGTTGGCGCACGAGTTGATCGGGTAGAAGAAGACCAGCAGCATTTTGGACTTGGTGAGATCGATGAGCGGGTAGCCGAGCAGCGCGGTGAAGCCGAAGAATATCACGGGCGCGGTGCACACGAAGTTGGTGCCGACCAGCACCAGTATCTTGCGGGCCACGGACGCCTCGCCCTTGACCGCGTGCCTTGTCTCGTAGCTCAGCGACATGTAGATCTGCACGTAGCAGAACAGCATCAGCAGGAACGCGGCGGCCGCGAACGCCAGCAACGTGAACACGTAGCACACGCCGCTCGCGCGAACCGTGTCCATCGGCAGGCAGATGCTGCGAACCACCGCAACGCAACGGATTAATAACATCATCGGACCACCGGCGGGTGGGGGGGGGAGGGGCGACGTTTTTCTATAATTTTATCGGTCGTCGGAGCAGTGAAACGACGTACGGGTCCGTCAACGGTATCCGTTATTTTGGGCCGAAAAACTTGATTTTCGTTTCCGCCAAAACGGAAATGTTCGATTTTCGATAAAGTTACGCGGGAGCCACCGCGGAGGCGCGCAGACACTGACTACGCATGGTATAGGTTATAACTTATAATATTGTGTAGTTCGATTTATATTTATTTATAATTCGCAGTGCCGTGTTTAGAAATCTTACGCAAAAAAAAAAAAAAAAAATTGGCGTCCCTCTACGGGGCCTACTCGCGGAAAATGTAGGAGATAGATCCTCATAAACCTTTTCGATAATCTAAAATCAATGCTATTTTCGTGTAGTTGGCACGACACCGCACGCCGCATGCGATAACAACAGATTTAGAAACTAATACTGGGTATATTAATAATATTCTGGATAGCTATATCGCTATAAATACATTAATAATATGTATTAATAAATTAAATACATTGACATTAATTTTTGATACTGTTATTAAAAACAAAAAAAATAATAATTTCAAAATAATTTTAAAAGTTCAAGTGACCAAATTTCTGACCACAACATTACCCCCCAAAAACTGGTGCCTTGGGCAGTTGTAGCCAGTGTCTCCCCCCCCTAAATTCGGCCATGATAATGCGGGTGAATTATTGAACGTAAAATCAATTATCTCTTATATATCTTCAATATAAAATGATGGCTTACCCTGAATCTCCATATATACCGATTATCGATAGAACTATAGATAAATAAGGGGTTTTCAAACGCCATCACAATAATACATAAGTAGAAATAGATTTGGCGGAAACGATAACCGCCCGTTACTTTTACAATACGAAGCCTGGGGTTTTCAAATATAAACTTCAATGAATTCAATTTCAGTTTCAACATTTTTTATATCCTCATGGGCATATAAATAAGAACAAGCCCTGTTCAATGTTTCTTAACAGAGTTTTAAGCAGCCTTAAAGACGGAAAAACTTCTTTCCGCTGTTGCGACAGCGATTGGCAATCGAACTAAATTTTTTTAGAAACGGCGTATGCGTTGAACTGTAAATTCGGACTTTTTTTATGTTTCACGGATAAAATTTTTATTTTTCAACTCAGAATTTACTAATAAAGAACTGCTTTTTTTTTTTTTTTGTAACGGAAATGACCGGGACGACGTGTGACGCGCAACAGTCAACGATTTCCTGCCGTAATGAAGATAACGTTTCGATAATATTTATCACAGTAAACTGTGTAACATTATCGATTGATATAAGATACAACACTATAGACAATATACAACATAGTAATTGCATTTAATAACTAATATTAATAATTATTATTGGCGTGTGGCTTGTATGTACTAAGTATTATAATCCATTCTGTACGATGTAAATTGTTCGTATTATTCTACTGATGGACGAAAAATTTAAGAATCATAAATGATTAATAAAGGGTTATTGAATAGTTTCTTAGCCATATAAGAAAAATCTTTGTTGAAAAATATTGAAAAAAATTGTTGGGAAGGCGTTCTTTTTCCTCCTTGAATTCGTACCTGGGGAGAATCTATAAATTGATCCAACGTTTTATTTTTATTTTTTCTAACTTTTACAGTGGTTCACAAAATAAGTAATTAATCATATATCGGATTTATAGCGGTTTCGATAACAGTATGTTTCCTTCTCTTATACGTTATGGAAAAACTATCGAGTATATACTACCTCCTATACATATACTCTTCTTAGTCGCACCGATTAAGATAAAATCTTACAATAAGAAATTAAACACAATCGGTCGGTGTATCATATTTATAACATTTTTGTACAAGACGATTTTGTGTTCGTACTTGACAGATTTAATTTGTATCGTAAAAAGCGTCGTTATTAAGCTATATGTGAACATCGACTTCGCATTGTCAGATAACGTAATTAAAAAAAATCAACAATCAATATACGTAGACGCGGTAATTACAAAAATAGAAATGTTATTAACATATATAGCGATCGTAAATCAATTGATTATTCAAAGGGGTTAGCACATAAAGCATCAGTATATTAGTATCATTTTTTTTTTGTAAATGTATGAAATTACTTTTTAAACACCATAATGTTATATTATTATTTGCCATTAGTATCATCATGTAAATATAAATTATTCGTAACTAATTATATAGGTACCATAAATTTATTCCGAAATGATTTAAATATTATCTTTATTATAACACTATTACATTTTTGACTTTTTAGTAAATAAATCGATCATATCCGTACTTAATATTTAACTATGACCTAAAAAAAATAAAATATGCCGCGTCGATTTGTCCTAGATCCATTTTAATGTTCATATCGATGTGAACTCGGAAATGTTAACTCAATATACTAATTGTACGTGTAATGAACTAGACACTAATTATGACGGTGTGCTAAAACTATCACTACCTAAATTATACAGACCCGGCGTCAAAATTATAGTCAATATCATAAGCGTGTGCGGACATCACTGACAGGGAATAGTAGTCATACATAACACATTCACATTTAACTTTAACAACAAATTCGGATGGAGTAACCTAATTTAACTTAATAATTACATTTTCGCAATATTATTATACTTAGCGTTTACGGTCGTGTCGAAATGGTTGAACATAACATGGTTTATAACTAACCTAACCTATCGCGATAATATTGAATATTTTGGTGGTTGGGAGGAAAGTTTACAAAATAGTCAAGTGCCTACTTTAATTACACCGTGCGCACGTTTATGGCCAATATATTACATACTTTTCGGTTAACCATTTATGCCTTTGACCTACAAGTTTGATTGTGTTAAAAAAACGAGATGTTACGTAATATAACGTTCTAACTGTATGTTTAAATATTAAATAGTTTTATATGGTACTTCATTATCACGCAGTTCATATATTATGTTCAACTATGTTATTCTATATTATATGTATTAAATCTATATTTTGTATAATGTTTGCCTATTAAAGCATTATATAACTATTAAATAATGAATAAATCAATATTAAATGCTATTTTTTAAAATAAATGTTATTTATTTTTAATGTTATTCTTGAAAATTAAGTCAAAGACTCCTCATAACTTGGTCTTACTTAAAGGTAATAATATCAAAATTAAATGTATGCATATATTTTTATATAAGCATTTAAATGTTCGAATTTCAAACAGAATCACAAACATTTACATATTATTTTTTATTTTTATATTTTCATTTTAATACTAAAAGCTTGAAAATTGAATAAAGAATCTAAATTTTGCTTTTGGCCAATAAAATAAATGTTGATACTATATATCGGTGGTTTTCAACCCGCGGCCCGCGGGCCACGTGTCCAGTGAAGATATTCAATTAACAATTTTTTTATAAATAAAACAAAACAATAAAAAATAAAAAGTAAAATTTTATAAAATACGATTTTTTTTTTGTATTAGTTTTATTTTCGAACATTTTAAAATATAAATTTCACGATATAACCCGTGCACTTACAAGAGCGTACTGATTAAATTAATGATCACCTACAGCGTTTACCTCAACCTGTAATCTTTTCAGTACCTAGTCAATAAAATATTTGAAAAAAAATTCAATATGTACCTACATGTATATTGTTCACCAACTATGTGTAACAAAGTAACATTAAATAGATTAATATTAATTTATTTCGTAATTTTATAATTAGGGTGGCTTAAGATAATATCCCTTTAAGATAATTGTTTACCAAAGTGGTCCACCGAGGAAAAATGATTGAACATCACTGCTGTATATCAACTATATCTAAATAAAAACCATTGTAGATTTCTAGTCGAATTATATTTTTATCTATAATAACTATAAAAATAAACCGGATATTTATTTTTATAACTGCGCCGCGTATAAATGGTACAATAATAATGTGCACGTTACAACATACGGCAACCGATATCTTTATAAAATACAATATCCTGTATGCAAATATCACATTCTCAACACGGCCGATGGATACAACTATACGTGTAAATAACGCGATACTTTCGTCTGAACAAACGAAAATCCTTTTGACCCATATACCTTTCCCGTTGTTCCCATTACCCTGAGGATGACGGTTTGTCTATCGTAAAAGCTCGTTCGCGCCTACCCACGGATCTAACGACAACTCGCGTTATTATGCTAATTCGGCCACGTTGTTGACGCTCCGTGCGTTTGGGCCATAATATAAGGTCCATGGTGCGTGGCCGACATTTGCTGAGTCGTGATCGGACGCATATGTAATACACAATTCATTAGACTGGTAACTTGTGTTAAGAGTACTTATTGCATCCACACGATTTCGGAAGCCCATCGCCATCAAAAGTAATGTCACCAACATGTAAATAAGCATATATGTGTGGTATAATGTATGCCAACACCATGGGACCTCGTATGATATGAAGTTTATAAATTATACCTATGCGTTTCCAAAAGTGCGGTTTACAGCTTCACTCGATACAGGGGCGGGTTTAAGGGGGTGGATAAGGGGGTATTAGCCGTCCCCCCCTCTTTGGACTAAGCTAACTATTTTACAAAGTCAAGTATTATGATATATTGATTGATATACTAATAATTATTATAAAATATCGTCAATAGTCATTGATGAATATGGTACCTATTTTATACATTTTTTTTATTAATAAATACCTCATTTTTGTTGTGAATTATATGTGTATACCTACCTATATTTTTTAAATGGTTTCACATTAAAATTGATACCAATAATGTAACTATTTAAAATTTGTCACTATTGTGAAAAAATGACTTTCCTATAAGGAACTCAAAAACATATTCTATAATTTAAAATTTTATGTAGATTTAATAAACAACTAATTAAATTCTTGAACCACCATTAGCCCCTCCCTTGGTGAGTGACAAGACCCATCCCTGACTCGAGTACACGGATATGGTCTTAAACATTTTTACTAAACTAATTTTGTTACTTTATATATATATATAAATTGTTTAATAGGACACTTGGCCAATTTTTTCAAATAATACGCGTTTACGTCTAATAAAGTGTAGAGATGCAACTAGTTGCAGTACACAGGATACACCGCAGACGTTCGACCGCTCTCTCTCACACTCATCTTCTCGCACCACTGCCTTCGAGCGTCTTACTAGGGTCCGAAAAATGTATTTTCGTTGATCGTCTTATGCGTGCAAATTCGTCAAGGAACATTCTTTGATCAATAACAATGTCTCGTCATCATCTCATAATAAATTGTTTTCTGCAGATTTTCATGGACATATATATATATATTGTTGACCTTATAATGTTATTTATAATCGTTTGTATTCCTTCCTCGAATATCTCAACCTGACTTGGACATTCCAACACCAAAACTCGCGTACGCACGCACGCACGCGCGCATATACGCGCTTGGTCGATATAATTATTTCTGGCTTTCTTGTTATTACAACTGCGTCGTAACATTTCACGGTGTACCATTATTGTAGAGTTGGTATGTGCTCAACGACGAATTCGGACGAGCCCTAAAGCGTTACGTAGGAAATATAGACAGCGTCGCTACATTTACCGCCACCGTCGTTTCCAGTCTTGAATCTCTGAGTGATTCGGAATTTTAAGTAATTAAAGCCAAATTCTGGTAATGTTGCGCCTCGCGAGCACGAGCTGACTTTTGATAAAAACAGCTATAGGTCATGCTGATAATAAGAGAGGGGGGGAAATCAAATTGTTCGGAACGAACTCCTCTGATCGCTAAATCTCATTCCACATTAAATTTGTCGAGCCAAATCGATGTTTATTGGCAAAAAAAATAATCGATAAAATTCCACAAATTTTAAATTTCAATTTTTTATTTGATTTTCAGCAAATTAAATTTCATACAGTTGACGAATACATAAAGTACTTACGACAATGATTTTTATAAAAACAAATATTTTATCGTGAGATTAATTTTTAATAAAAATATTTTAGGACACAATCAATATTTTACTTTTAATAGAGAGATAAGGGTAAAAAGGGTTGTTACGTGTTTTCGTTGTTACAGTTTTTTTATTTTAATAAATCGGCGTTTAATTATGATGTTATAATCTTATTTTTTAACCTCTTCCTCTGGAAAAAATAAATTGAAATTACGCTACTTACGCAGTCGAATATATACGCAATATTAGATAAATAATATTTTATAACCCTAATGAGTACCAAAATGTAGTAAAATATAATCGCGTTTTCTGATCGATGAATATTTTTTTTTTTTTTAACCATTTGTTGTTTTTTATTTTTAAATTACTTATATTAATTATTAATATAAGTACAATAATATTATGTATATTTACCTGGTAGTCGAATAACTCGATATGCCCAGTAACGGCATCGTAGCCATTACGATTGAATACACCCAACCAAAAGCCATGATTTTTACTGTCGAGGCGAATGTCATTTTATTTGTGTATAGCGCTTTCCGTATCGAATACCAACGTTCAATCGTTAGTAAGCACAACGCAAACACCGACAACTGAGACGAGAAAACGGTCAAAAAGCCTCCGATCTTACATCCAACGCCTATTAACAAAGATTCACGAAAACTTTGTAGGTACCATTTTTTTTTACATTTTTTTCGATAGAAATATTAATCATGTTTACCATTTTGCCATGTGTACGCGTAATTAAAATACTTTTCACTTGATGTCAAATCTTCGTAGGCCAATAGCAACAAGTAAATAGCCGTACAAAAGTCAGCAAAAGCCAAATTACTCATCAGGAATCTGGGTACGGAACAGTTTAATGTTCTACGAAATACCACCATCAAAACCACCATGTTTGCCAAAAACGCTAAGATTCCCACCATCCAGACGCAAATACGAAGCCAAAAGAATCCCATAATGTCTTCACACGGATTCAAAGCATTTGGTTTGGGCCAACATTCAATATTAGATTTCCTGGAACGCAAAACTCTTTTTAGTTAAGTGTACACGGAAAACTAAATTAGACAAATTATTAATTATATTATATTGAGAAGTTATTTACTCGACTCGTTCTTGCGCGCTTTTAATTAAAATCTTATTTAACATTTGATGATTCGGCTTATTAAAACTTAATAAAAAGTTAAGTTCGGAGGTTTTTTTGTATATTTATTAGAAATGGTTTCTTACGCTGCTAGTTTTGTTATATTGCCACACATAACATCAAGAGTGCCAGTCGTTATGGCCGGTTTGTCGAAAAATTCTTCATCACTATTATTATCGTATTCGGTAGATTGTTTTTTAGGGAAACCTCGTGATGCTGTATTTTTTTGCATGACATTATTTTTCTTTATTTTATCACATTCACTGGATGTTCGTTGTAAATCATTCTATAAAAATTAAAACATATTTAACATTTTACTGTGGTGTTACAAAAATGTTTTGGAACAATATTGGTTTGGAGAACCTACAACCATTATACTTTCGAAGAACTTTAAAAAATAACTCACTCCAATATAAAAATTATTTATTTTATTTACAATATAAACATGTGTAAACATCTGATTATTTTAAAAATATTTTTATTCAAAAGACGTTTCAGATTGATGTGACATTTCAATTTATTATAAGTGTAATAAAACAAATTTTTCGAAACTGAATAATTAAAAAATCCTTAAAAAAAAAAAAATTAATTAATCTGGTATCACGAGTAAAAATATATAAATCTCTAATGTAACTTTGTGTTAATTTTAAATGTAATTTTTTAGTAAAAATCTAACAATTTCTCGTGAATATAAGTACATAGGTACTATAAGTTTTTCAGTATAATATTCGTATAATCCTGAACCATACGAATAATGAATAGTAATTAATGAATATACGTTTATAAGAGATTCATATTTATTTTTCTTTGCAGTCAATTTCATTGGAATAAGAATAAATTAATATTTACTTGATGAAAATTATAGTTAGAATTATCATGTTTGGCTGGAAACTGAAAACTACAACAGTGGAACGAATACGTAAGATGAGCTTCTTTTAAACTCTGAAATAAAAAAAATTAAAATTTTAAATGTATTATAAATGTAATAAGAATATATACTAACCCCGAATGAATAAACTGAAGGAATCTCTGTCAGGGTAGGAGTATTTTCAATACGAAGTACTTCAATACTCATTAACCCAAATGATGGTAATAATTTCATTGACGAATCCGATAAATCCCTAGAATAATTCAGTATGATTTCTAGTATCAAAAATAATTCAACAAGACTTAACAGTTAAATAATTAAAACTATGACAAAGTAATCTTCGATAATCAGTTCTAAAAAAAATATGGTACTGATTAAAGAATTCTATCAACTGGAAAATAAAAATCTTTTAACTACAAATGTCGAAAAAAAACAAAGTGTCCAGCTGTGTAATATGCAAATTTTAGTTTTTCTATAAATAAATTATTTTATAAAGACAAGATTAATTCATATACTTTACAAAATAGAGAAAAAAATTATTTGTATTATAATTTATACTTATTTTATTTTGAATAATTACAGAACCAATACATCATGGAGTTTACAGTATATTAAGGAAATACATTGTACTTGAAATGTAAAATATAATATTTTATTTGTATATATTTTATTAGTTTATTACTTACTAGAAATATAATGGAAATTAAATATTCGAAAAATATGTGCAATGAAGAGTTGGTAAGTTAAGTACATAATATGTACTGCTCATATATGAGCGTAAGACTCGGATAGTAATCGCAATAGAATAGAATAATTAGTGATCTTTGAAATGTAGTAATATCAAAAACGTTTAGAACTTCATAAATTGAGAAAATAACAACTGGTCTGAACAAAATTAATTCAAAGCAATAAATTGAGTGGTTTGTCTAAATTAAGAAAATGATCGCTTGGTTAAAGTGCAGACTAAGTAGAATAATTGAAAACTATGTAAAATACCAGATTGTAAGTAGTATATTGAAGATGCTGGATGGAATGCATATATTTTTAAAAGAGTAGAATGTGAAATTATATCTAGAACTTAAATAATGTAATGTTATTACAAAAAAACAAAGTGATTACAGGGGAAAAAGCAACAAGCTTATCGTTTTACGGTAAAAGATAATTGATCTCAAATTAAATAAATAAATTATAATTTGCGTTTAAGTAATGAATAACTTACAATGTCAGTAAGTTTTTAATTCCATCGAAACTGTGTTCTGACAAAAAATCTAAATAGTTTCCTTTTAAACTCCTGTAAAAAGTAATTAAATTATGGTAATGTTAAAAATCAATTGTAATTTTATTTTAAGTTAATAAAATAAAAATAGTATACCAATCTAATTCGTGTACTTACAATTTTGCTATTTCTGAACCATTGAATGCCCAATCTTCTATTACGTGTATATTATTATATTCCAATAGCCTGTAAATGTATTGAAAGATCACTAACCGATTGTAATTATTATAGTTATTTTTGATGTGTTATTTATAAAACCTAATACATTCATATTTACATATATATGAAAAGTATAGACATAGTACAAAATGGGTGTTTAACACAACAAATGTCTTATAACATATGGGATTAAACTCACGGGGTTATAAATCTAGCTTTCTTTTGCTTTTTGTCAAGTGACATAATTTAATATTAAAATATCCGTCAAGTGACTATATAACTGATTATTTTTTCGTTTGAAATGACTAATTAAACTTGTTGATTTGAAAAATGTTTATGAAACTAAAAATATAAGTTGATGTAAATCGTTATATATCATTTGTATGAACTCACGGTAGTATTGATTTGAAGTGATCAATTAAATTTCAATGTACAATTGTAACCAAACAAATCCATCAAAATATTTCTATAACCATTTATTGTAAAAATCTTTAAATTTGGTTTGCGTGTTTTATTTTTTGCTTTAAAAAATACTTTGTAATATGATTCATACTATGAAATGTAATTCAAGCTTCAAGGTTTAAATAAAAATATATATTTATTCCCTCAAATTTGATTGAATGGTTGAAATTATAGGGTCCAAATAACTTTAGTTAATAATATTTTTGTATGGGGATGAGTATGTTCAGGCTATTTGTGTTGAGCATTATATTACGACGTCGTTAGAGTGACAAGGAATATTACTGACCGGATCATATGACGTAGACCCTTTTACAACATTGAACATTTTTCCACTACAAGACAATGTCGAAGAGTTTATTAATGATAAGTGTATGGAGGAGTTAAACTAATCGATTCAATCCAAATTATTAGTAATTATAAGTCGATTTTTGTTTCTTGTTTTTTTAATTAATAATCACATAGGTACTCACAACTGTCCAGCACGAGTTTTTATTCCATTCGTCGGTAATGTATCCAATCGATTTCCCTCGAACTCACTGAAAGCAAAATGTTTGTATAATAAATAGGTATTATCAACTATCGTGCTATCGTAAATTTTCAATATAGTTTTATGTTACATAATATGCATTGCAGTTGATGTTCCGAGGTCTGAAAGATCAGGTATGGCTTTAATATTGGTTTTACTTATACGCCTGAAAAAACACAATGGCTATTAAACGTTAGTGTTTTGAAATGAGCAAAGAATATTATAAGCTATGAAAATGTAAAATGTAGAAAGAAAATTGTTGTATACATTTCATTATTATACCACATACTTATAAACTAGATATTGTTAACAATGCATTCAAGTTAATTTTTATTGTTATTAAATGTCTTTTAAAATTAATTTTTCTGAAGTGGAATTTCTCATCCAAATACGACAACTGATTAATGTTATAATAGAGATATCTTTAAACTCGGAATTCACCGAAGAAAACAGTTTCAAATATTTAATCACATCATTGTTCAAATAAATCATTAACAAAATCATAATTCAACCTTCTTAAAAATAACATATATTTATTCATTTATCGTGTAAATTATAGTGGAAACAATTGTATACTTGTTAGTCAGTTAATTCAGTAAAATATTTAAGAAATTATAAATTAAATATCTCTTCAATTTATTGTAAGTTATAATTCACTAACAGTGCTAAAAATGTTTTTGAAAGTCCACGAAATATGTCTGAAGGCAATTCTTTCAAAGCATTAGCACGTGATATATACCTAAAAATGTGAGAAACAAATAAATCAAACATTTTTCCAGATTATTAAATAATAATTTGTTAGAACTAAAAAATGCCTTACAGTGATTGTAACTTATTAAAATGTTTGAAAGTTGATGAGTCCAAGTATTTGAGGTTTTTCAAGTTGATTAATATTCTAAAATAAAAACAAAACCCTATTACGTAATTCGACAAATATTAATAAGACTTAATCTAATTTCACTTACATGTCTGAAAGATCATTTCTATATGCATAAATCGATTTTTCAGAAAAATGTTCAATACTCGAATCCTTGATTGTACTAAAATCAAAAATATTATTAATTCACATATTAAATATAGGTGTATAGAAATTATTATTTCTTTTTCACAAGTGATAATTTAAATAAATTGATAAATATATTTTATGAATTTAATGTGCAATGTATTTATTTATAAACCATGTCTGATTTTTCTATTAATAAAATTAAAATGAAATAAAAATTACTTTTAATTCAATCTAATCTAATAATAAGATAATCAAAAAGTAATAATTATTATAATAATGAACTAAATATAAATAGCTATATAAATATTATCATCTATATTATTTAAATAACTTGATATGGTATGAAACTTACATAAATAAAAATAAATTCAGTTATTTTGTAATTTTCGATATTAGTAAAGATTGTTGGGAGTAATATTAATATTAAAATATACATAAATGTCATATTGTTAAAATAAGTAACGCCTACGTAGACGCAGTCACTACACATGGCTGTAATTGTTTTGCATTCCACTTAATAAAAACCAGTTTTCAACACTAATTCAAGAACCTCTTTTATCAAGTTTTCAACCTATTAAAAATAATAATTAAATAATTATTATCTATTAGCCGAATTCACGTTACCTCTAAAAGTTTTAACTATATCTTATCTTTTAAAATCAATGCCTATATGAACATTAAAAAGGATTAATATTATTGTTTGACAATAAACTAATCTAAGCGCTTTTATTGATTTAACACATACATTATAACTGAAACATATCTGGTGATTATGAAAGTAAAACTAAATAAACTAAATACTCAATAAAATTGTTCATTTTTATCCATATGAATATATGTTCAAATACATTTATGCAAATTGTATATAACAAACAACGCTTTTAGTCATTCAAGTAAAAATATAAAAAAGTTTCATACTTTCATTCTTCGACTATATTAATTAGGCATCAATTTTATTCCCTTGATTATTTTATTTTTATACTAAATTCAGCTTAGTCGATTTAATTGCATATTTGTATTGTAATAAAAATTGTAAAAATTATATCATAAACCATAATCATCAGCAATGTTTTATAATTATAGTTATTTATTTGGGGAAATTGACTGTAGTGAATACAGTAAATAAATTCCATTTTACGTATGTTTTTATGATAAAAATGCATGTTACACTTAGCATATGTTTATAGACAAATAAGAAATATAGCCTGATAATATTTAAATTCAATATAATTTTTCTTATTTTATTTTTATTAATATCCTCGCATTAATCGAATAATATGAACATGCCTCATATTAATATTTTTCGTAAAAAATCTGTCATCAACGGGGTTGCCATCCTTCCCGATATATCGGCACTGTTACTGAGCATTGATATTGGCATTGAGCTTTATGTCAGGACATTCTGAAAAAATACTATAATCTCCCGATTGAAACTGTGGATTGCAAATTTTGCAAATTTTGCTTTATTGTATTTTATTGTATTTATTGCGATAAAAAATAAAAAATTATATGAATAAGAGATTTTTCGATAATTTTGTCTCAGTCGGCTGATGGATAAAATCGCCTGCTCCCAGAGACTATGAAGTAAATTTTATAGTGTAAAGTTAATTATAACATGAATTGCATTGAGCTCTTTGAGGAAACAAAGAACTATGGAAAAAACAAAATCTATTAAAAAGTATGTCCATCCAGTACTCTGCAATAAACTAAAAAATATGTTCTTATGTAACCTAAACAAATATACAATTATTTAATCGAAAACAATGAAGTATAATTTTTATAATAAAATTGAGTATTTTTATACATTCCATCATAGAACTCTTAGAAGTCCCTATGATACCACAGCCAAATATAGTAACAATATTCATCATCAAGCACACAATTAGATAAAGCGCGTAAATGCGCCTAATCGTTAAACTAATTACTACATCAAACACTGCGAAAATCTTGCTACATAGGCGTTGTGTCAATTTCGTGTCGAATTTTAAGAAATGTACATCCTTCAAATCTATCATTCCTAAGCCAAAATTTGGGTTCAAAATAATTTCTTGAAGTAAATTTTCTTAAGTCGAATTAAATTTTTTGATAGGAATTAATATAATGTAACCGTTAGAGCATAAATTATTTTCTACCATAACTTTATAATTACTATTTTGCATTTCATTCGAAATTCTAATTTCCTTTCCAAATAATTTTGGGTAGGTTTTTGAACCTAAATTCGTACACATATTCTCATTATTTTATATAGAAATTAATTAAAGAAGTATTGATACTGATAAATAAATAAAATTTCACAGATAAATATCTCGTATTAGTTCATGTAAATTTAAAATCAATTTTATTTTGTACCCATTTATACTGTCATGTATGCAAACTTACATTAATAAGCAATAAGCACACATTATAATCAAACCACAAACATTTGGACCTACAAGACCAAAATTAAAAAGGCCAAACACGCAAGACTATAATAGGTAGTTAGTAGACGATTATCAAAATAATTAGCTATAATGCGTATAAAGTATTGGTTATTGTTTGCTTATGACTTATAAAAATTAAAAGTATTTAATTATTTTCAAAGTGAATATGTTCTGTATATATATATAGTATTATAGTATTAAATTATAATATAATAATTTATATGCTGATAGATAGTAATGAAAAGGTAAAATATAAATCAATTATGTATCTCTTAGATTATTTTTAATTTTATAGATTTAAATACACATAAAATGAACTATGTAGACATTTTATTTTGATTGTAATATATATGAAATCAATCGACCGTTGACTAAATTATTTATTACACATATAAAAATGATAAAACCTCGTGGTAATAAAAAAAAATACTGTGAAGTTCTAATTTATATAAAATGTTCTTATTATTGCAATTTTATTACAATGTATACCTACTAATATATCTAAAACTCTGAAAATATTCTACGTAATATAATAAAACTTTATATATTGTATATGGATGAATAAGAAAATAATAATTTTCAGAAAAACAATTCGATCTATTGATGTACCTATAATGTTTTATTTTCAACAATAGAACTAACAACTGATTGAATGTTTTAAGTCAATTCTTTGTAATAGTTTTAAGTTTGATTTATATTAATGTTTAAAAATTAAAATATTTGTATAAGTCAAGAGTCTTTTATTGGCCACTTTTTCAACATAAATTATTATCTTAATTTTATTATAAATATTAATTTTATAACCTAATAATTTCCTCTCAAAATACATAGTTGTAAGTATTATTCTAGTAACATTGGAAAATAAAAGAAGATATAATGATGTGCTTTGGTTTCATAAACTACTAAATTATTAAATTGTTTGCCCTGAATTTTTATCTCAAATTCCTATAAACGTATCTAGTGTAACTACTCGTGTAACTCAATCATTTTATACAAAAACCTTCCACCAAAATTATATTATTTTTGCTCCGATCAATAAAATGCTAATTACAAGTAATTCATTAACTAATTTTGATTTTTTTAGTGATAGTCAAGCCAAGTTAATATCTTTAATTTATTCATTATAATTTTAAATGTATGCCTTATTATTTTATTATTATATTTATACCTATTGTATCTATGTTAAGCATAATGTTTATCATATTATTGAAATCTTAATTGAATAATTAATCATATTGTTCTACTCACCATAGTTTATAAGTTTAATTCTACATTATCTGTACTAAGCTCTAATAATAAGGGCGTTTATTATCAATAAATAAATAATTCATAATTATTAAATATTTTTTATCAAAGTTCTTATTGAGTCACATTCATATTGCTTAGTTAAAATGTTAAAACATTTCCAAATTTATATAGGTACATCTATTAACTGTTGCTAAAAAATGAGAACCTTATAATTCATTCATGTAAAAATTACACCGATTTTACTATCCTAAATGATATTTTGAGTAAATAATATATATGTTGTTATTTGTTTAATTTAAGATCGATCTGCTTGCCCGAATAATGAATTTACAACCAAAATACGTTTAGAAATTTGAAATATAGTTGAACAATATACCTTCCTGCTATGATTTTTTTAATTTTATGGTTTTATTTTGTTTAAATAAAAAATTAAAAAAAAATTAATATCTCAAGACGTAATCCAACTGTTCTCACAGTTATTTACTAGTAGTAATACCGGATATAAGTCTCAGGAGGCCAGGGTGCATACATACTTATTAGAAGTCCTTTAAAAAATAATATTTATTTAATAAATTTTAATGATTTAAACAACTAAAAAAATAATATGTAATTACCTTAATTTATAGGTAAATTAAAAAAAAAAAAACAAATAATATAACATACAATTTAAAATTTAAAATTTTAGCCTTAAAGACCCTTTAGAGCTTGAGGCCCCAGTAATTTTCATTCACTGCACTCCCACTAAATCCGGCGCTGACAAGTAGCCAGATATTTGATGGTTATTTATTTTGTTTTTACGTTTTTGGTGTCTCACAAGTACAAATGTTGTGTACGTCCATTATTAGATAATATTTTAACGAATGTGTACATGAACGGATGTATCAGCTCTAACGTAATAACTAGATTTAAACGTTTGCTGTAAATACATGCATGAGCGAGATGGCATGTGTGATCATCAGGATCGTATTTAAGAATTTATCACCCAGGGGCAACAAAATGTTGTCGATCATCTTTCTTTAAGTGCAAAACTGAAAACAAGTTCCACGTGCGCAATTTATTTTCCCGTTCCAATACATTATTCACATTATTCAACATTATTACACAATATTTTTAATTAATATAAAATCTAAAATAATATCCGAGTTTTAACCATCGACATAAGGTTATAGAAATTAATATTTTATAAAACAAATCAAAATTAAACCAATACCTGCGTCTCAACAAAATACCATGTAAAATAAAATACTCTTAAATTGATATCAATTTCATTAGCTTCTAAATAATAAAGATAATTTAACGGTATTACATTGTACTTTTTTTCACATAATTTTATTTATTGATAAATAGTTTTCCATTGAGAATGCTGACCAATACGTATTTTATTTAGAATCACCTGAAATTGTTGCCGCCAGTACCTTAAATACGGCCCTGGTGGTAATCGTACGAGAACTATAACGTCCGTATCATAGGAATTACTCACAGTACGTTGATCGTTTCGTAAACCGGCGGTATGCTTTGAATTCCCGAGCAGTACAGTTCGGTTTTGTGTTGCCAAGTGTTGGACATGTTACGGACGCAACATTGGTCGGAGTTCGTGCAGGGCGTGTACCTGGCCTGTGCCGATGACGGCAGGACACATACGCTCAGCAACACCAAGACGTTGACAATCGTCCGCATCGAGAGCAAGCTGAAACATAAATTTCACTTATACACTACCCGTACGATGCGGGCGAACAGGTGAAAAGGGCGAGTCCGTCAGCTGCAACCCTGTTTTTCGTGTGCACTACGAGCGTCACTGGCATATGCGCAACTAGGGAGCTTAGCCCCCCCCCCATAAATATTCCATGTTTTACATGGCATACCGCACACAGCATACTTAACTCACAATAGTGTCACGTACAAAAAAAGATACATTGCAGTAAATCCAACTTGGCTCAGAATCTAAAATACATTAACATAGTATATAGCAGTAGTATTAATAGTAATAGGGGTAATATACAGGTTATTTTAAGTTTTGGTAGGAGGGCTGTAGCCCACCCAGATTTTTTACCCTAGTTGTGCCTATGGTCAATGGTCTACGAAACGTCGCTTTCGACTGCGAAAACACGTATTGTGTATAACGTGCAACAAATCCATTACGGATTTCAACGAAAAAAATTATATCATTCGCGTAATTTACATAAGAAAAAAATAAATAAATACGAAATTGTGCGCTAAGAGAAAAGAAAAAAAAATAAAGTACGAATATCTTTTTATTAAAATATACGTGGTATAGCAATCGATATATACTCGGGACACTTTGCGTTGGGTGAAAAGTGCACTAAGTTCTTCACACCGGTGTATCGTCAAATAATCATTAATTTGCTGCCGATTAAATCAATAAAAACAATTCCACGTCTGAAATCTGAATTCACTTGTTCTGAAAAGTATAATTGTTATTGATACCTGATAGTACTTATTATACGTAATTGTTTCGGTAGTTGACAGTGTTCAAACAATACGGAGTAACACTTCGTGGAATCATAAATTATAGTTATTGAATTTTATATTAAAATGACCAATTAGACAACACAATTGATTAAATATTCAATAATTAAATTATAATATAATTTGTAAAATCATGGTCAGTAATTAAATGCGATGCTTCAATATATAAACATTAATGTTTTCGATTATAGTTGTTAATTTTCTTGAAATTAATAATAATATAAGATTAAAACTTTCACTCTTTATATACAATAAAAATAATACATGATAATTTAAGATTCATTTAGATCATTGGCTTTCTGTATTTATTACATATTTGATGATTTAAATAACTTTATCTTCTATATACAATGGAAACAAAAGATGCTAGGTTATAGTAACAATTATATGATTTGTAATTATAATGATGTCGAAGAATACATGACTTACTAGTCACTAATAGCTAAAAATTAAAGTATAAAAATAAATTGAATGAGTTGTTATACTATGTGGATAAACTAAATTATTGTATATTGTATACAACGTCAAAAAGTTAATTTTTTTAGTTTACGGGAAATACTGCCGCTCTAGTTGTTACTTGGTTGGTCTACATTAGATGATGTGTCAATGAAAAAAAATTAATTAATACGTTAGCATATAACAAATTTCAATATTTAGTCATGTATTCAACTACACTGTCAAAATAAATTTATACACACTGCTCTATTTTCGACGCTTTGGCTTCGATTCATGACGTACGATAAATTAGAATTTCTAAAATGGGATGTCACACGTGTTCACTAACGTGCACTTAAATCTTGTCAACAAAATTAAGAGCATTAGAGTAAATTGGTGTAAAAGCAATCATTTTTGTTTGTCTTTAATATTATAATGATCAAATATTATAGATATGTAAAAGTAATAATAATCAATTTTATTAATAAAAATGATTGCCATAAATTATCCTACGCTTAAAATAAACTGTAGAATGGATAAAATATTATACAAATTATTTTTTTTTTTTTATAAAAAAATGAACAAAACTGATTATATGAAAAGTTACATAATAATAAAAAAAATATAATTGCATGTGTTCTACGAAAAAAATGTCTTATGATAAATGTAGACTTTTAGAAATTTGTTTTAAACATTTCTTCATTATAATGAAATTTTAATTACAAATATTTAGTGTATATAAATACCTTTATTGTATTATTATTATACTATTATTGTTTTTTCAAAACAAAAATTATGTAAAATCTCGAAATATGTATAAGTCCTTGCCCTGTATATACGTATTATGATTTGATACATATTGTAGGTATCTATATAATCTATATAATATAGAATATAGTTATTTTACAAACATTAGTACCTAAACAGCATGTGTATTTTTTTATAAATGTTCTTGTATTATAATTCCAAAGTTATTATCAGTACACCTTTATAAATAATAATGAATTTTAAATTTAAAGAACCACAAAAGGACTTTGTAAACACTTACATAATACAAATTGGGTCCTGATGATTTAAAAATTTAATTTTAATAATTAACTTTTTTACTGAAAATTAATAATTATATGCAAAATATATCACAATATATTATGATATTTAAAATACACCATTCTATATTAAGATCAAATGATATATATATATTAATTTACCTATTATGTATAATTCAGAAATTGATAGTTTCTTAAGCACCAAAACAATATTCTTATCACTAAAAAATGATCAATGTGTAAAAATAATTACAGTAGTTATTATTATTAAATTAATTTTAAGCCAATTTAGTTTACAAAATGTATATTTTCATACATAATAATTTTAACACAATGCGCCTACATATTTATCAAGACGCAATACGCAATCACAATTGTTGACAGTCTTTAAATTTCGATAGGTATTTTATTAAGTCGAAAATAATTGAAGTAGGTAATAAAACTATAATAAGTAGCCGATTACTTACGCTCACAATCTGAATAGTTAAATTGCTAAAGCAATGTGTCGTCATAGAAATAACTTTACCGTATACTATTAGTTATTTTCATCTATAATTTTTGTCTCACGAAAAATATTAACTGTACATTCAAATACAATTAGGGTTTTACACCTAAAAATAATTGTACGTACATATCGTTCGCGTCTACACTATTCAATAGGTACACAAACGAAATATTACTGAGGAGTCGATTGCTGAAAGTCTGTCGACGAATTGACATTTAACGTTTATGTAGATGCGCTACACTTTTAAGCCCAGTTCAATATACTTTTTAATCGTTACTTCCTAAGCGATGCTCGTAAAGCCGACGATCGTTCAATTATTTTAATTAAAAGATTACGGATCATTGTTTTAAACGAATAAAAAAAAACGAATAAATACAATCAATAAAACAATTTTGCCGTCCGCAAACGCGTAGTGATCACGCGAATATAATCACGTGGTTGAACAACGCGTCCGCTCGAAAATTAACCGTACGACTTGTTCGGTTGGCAACCGATCACCGTCCCGCGTCTTCTTTAACGTAAACGTTACTGAATCTTACGCATAGATTTTCAACGCGGTTACGCAGGCGTACCCTTCTCCGTTAAAACGACAACTTCCGATAACTCCGTACACGCGAATTATTCACCGGTTTGTCTGCCGACGGTGCGACGGGCGAGACACGACATCGTAACCGCACGTTGGAAACGTCCAAACCGAATGTTAACATCACGCGAACTACCGTCCGCGGCCGGTTAACCGATAACGCGTTCTTGTCGCGGCCGACAATATCACGCGAACGGTGCAACACAATTATCTTGTGAATCGTGTTACGGTTCGATTGTGTCAACACGAGCAGCGCCACGCCCGCGGAACAGTTGTAAAGGTGTACGGAGTACGCTGCGCGCAACACGCGTAGTCCGCATCGTTTCTGCGTGTAATTTTTCTATCGGATGCCGACGTGTACGTTGCACGTCGTTCCCTTTCGGTCCACCGACGGGACAACGATTATTATTGGTACGCGTGCGGGGATCGCGATGTACACGCGTTTTCCTACCGTTGTTGTCCGTCCGAAAAATATCGAAACATCGTTATTGTTATTATTATTACTATTGTTGACGTCAGTGGCGCACACAGGATTTTTTTTCGGGGGGGGGGGGGGCAAGGTAAAAATATAACACATTTTACAATTAACGAAATTATGCAAATCCTTAATATATTTTGACTTGAATAATAGCATAGACTTTTCTATAATCAATGATACTAAGTATTCAATACTATTAACTCTTCATGTTTCAAAACTGTAAGATTTATACATTTTAACCTAGACATCGGAAAAAATTTCGGGGGAGTTATAACCCCTTAACCCCCCCTCCCTGCGTGCGCCACTGATTGACGTTATGATCCGTACACGAAACGCGATAAAAATCTTAATTTTTCATACCCTGTATGCACTTCGCGGAACCTTGCTCTGATACCGCCTCCGATTATATTTGTATAATTTGTCATCGCGGAGTCGGGTATTAGTGATTTTTCTTTTTCGATCCAGGTGTAACTGCAGTATCTGCGCTCCGCACGAATACCCGTGAGTTCTGTTATTGTAGTACGTTTCATTTGTCATGGCGTTGAGCCGTTAATATAATGTTCGTGTTTATATTGAATACAGAAACCAATACACGTATAAACTTCAAATTTTGTAGTGCTGTGTGCGTTATCGTTCAACGTTTTGCTGTTTAATAACAATATATCTACCATAATTTCAGTTTCGATTTACCTGTTTTATTTACGCCCTATAATTATAGCTTTTAATCTAACGCATGTACACGCATTATTACACATTTACGTACAGGCGTGGATCTAGAAGTGGAAAAAGAAGGGGGGGACCGAACAAAAAATTTGAGTTTAAGTACATAAAATCATAGACAACATTTTAAAGTGAATAAAATAATAGCCATACGTGCATATTATAACATAGTAATAAAAAAACTTTAATCGTAAAATTATCTTTTATTGCATTCGTTATGATGCACTAACATAAACGAGATTGCAAAATATTGAGTAGTTGAAAAAAATATTACAGTTTAATTATTTAAGGAAATCAATTTGACCTATCTTCTAATTTTATCCTTTTTGGTCAGGACCATAAAATACTGCATAAATAATCACGATTAACAGTCAATCCTAAATGTCAATAAGCAATATTATATAAATGTTATAAGTATAGTATTGCTCCTCTTTATTTTAATCAATAAAATAAAAAATGATTAATTTTTGTAATATTTTAAGTATCTAAGACCTAAAGGGGAAAAGACTTAAGCCCACATAGCCTCCTACCTTGTATCCGTGCATATTTTTATAGTTACACGTCTCGTAACTCGTTTACCTCTTGAGTGATACACCAAAATAATTACGAATGAGCAACAATACTACTCCACACGTCATATTATTTACCGCATCAAAATGTAACATGTGATCAGATATATATGTAAGAACATTTCTGACTTCAAACTCTCTAGCCATGCAGGAAGTTTAAATATTTAATAGTAATAATCAGTGATAGGAATCCGATCAATGATAAAGACCTCATTCTCGCATTTCTGTATATTTTAACATCTGTACTCATGTTATATAAATTTACAGTTTTCTTGTTAGTGTTACATATTTTGTAAACATTTTTTCTTCGAGTTAAAGCAAATTTATGATTTTAAAACAAAAAATGTATTTATTTATTTTATATTTATTTAATCATTTATTCATATTCACATTTTTGTATTGACTACGATTCATCGAATCATAAATTCTCTTTCAACAAGATAGGTATTGAAAAAATCTGAATTAAAAAATTTGAAAAGTTTTGGACTATTTTCGAATAGAATTTATTTTATGTACATCCCTTTTTCAATTGGTTTTTCTTACCATGTTCAAATTTTAAAATGCACATTTAAATGATTATAATATTGTAATATGGTAATTTGTAATGTTTGTTGATAATTTTTTATTGATACACATATTCTGAACAACAATTTAGTATTAAAACAATGTATTTTAATGATTTTAAAAACATTAAATCTTGATTTCTAGTTATAATTAAATAAAATTAGTAACATAAAATACTTAACATGGCAAATGTATTAATACAATGAGTATATAAGTAAAACAGCTTAATTTATAAACAAAGCTGTGTGAAATATTTGTTTTTATCCTTATGATAGTTAATTTTACTGACATACTCCGTATCCATAACAACAAAATTACAAATCGTCTTTTCTTAGCACATTTCAAAGTTTAAATCATCTTTTTAAATTTATATTTCAAAATGCATTAGTATTCCGAGAGTTACTATTATGCATTTTATAACATTAAATGAAGAACTATGTTTGTAAACGAGACTAATGATCCATAATACACAGCAAGCCAGAAATATTAAGCTTATATATGTATTTATAAATTTAAATAATAAAGTCGTATTTCTATAATAACATAAGTAGAATTATTTTTTTTTAATATTGGTTCAATAACATTAATATAATTTTAATTAAAAAGTCAGTTGAATACATCATATTTTATAAATGTGTAAAGTAATTTATAAAATTTTAAATTTAATAATTATTCATAATAATCTAGACGAAATTATTATTGCTATACCACCATAAGGATTATGAAAGCAATTCAAAGTAATAAAATGCAATTTACCTTTAGAAACTAGTTTGCATTTATAAGGATTTGAGTACACTGAACTGTACAAATTAATTAAATAACAAAAATTGATTATTATAAGTAAAAGCTAATTATAATTATAATCATTTATGCATTCGTAATAAATCGATGTAAATCAATATGGTGAATTTATTATTATCACTAGTACGCTATCAAAATAAATAAATATTAATAACGACATTTAATTATGATTATATTCAAATTAACCTAACCAGGAGGAAAACATCCTTATTTTACTAAATCAAAAGTTTTCAACGTAAACCAATAAAAAAATGTACTCTCATTGCAACTCTCGCTATATAATTAAGAACAAGTAATTTATTAGGAACTATTATTACGACCAAGTACCACAACTGATTAATAAATCAATGTACTCTACTTAACATAGAAATAAAATCATTTTTGGTTACAAGAAATTATTCATTAAATTTTAATCAAAAAATTTATTATAGATTTAAACGAAAAATAAAGAAAATACATATCTCTTATCGCTAACTAGGACAAAACAATAATTCTAGAATATTAAATTTAAACGAACCAAGAGTTATTATGATGATATAATATTGCTTTGATTTTGTAACGACGAAATATGTTGATACCTTCACACGTATTGTATTATACAAAGGCTTCATAGAACAATGTGTAAAGATATAAAATCAAATTAGGTTTGTTATAGTGCAAAATTATGATTATAGAAATCCATAGAAAAACACTCGCCATCATTTTATATAGTTAATGAGATTCAAACAATTACTGAGAACATAAATACCACATAATATAATTGATGTAGACCAAAACAAACCCACAATAATTTATTTTATGGTACAGCTCTATAGCGTTATTCATATTTTATTTGTAATTTTAATACTTGTACAGTGAATCTAATATAAAAATAGAAACCAGGAAAAAGTACCATATGTACAACCATCTGTACCTGTAGACAAATAAGTTATACTCATGTACTAATGGGTACCGCGAGGGGGTGCAATGGGATGCGCTTGTACCCCACGAATTTTTTTTAAAAAAAAAGAATAATATTTAAAAAAGTAAGATAGAGGTTATTATTATCATTATCAGATTTTCTAGTAACCCGCATTACTTTGTAGCCGTTGATATAAATTAAAATAACTTTCTACTGTCATACAATTTGAAAAAATATTCCCACATATTTAACTTAAACAATTTAAGCATTATTCATAAATCAGCGTAGATACCATGCACGTGTCACCACGTGTCTAACCTCTAACATGGTGGCGCCTATGCGTGTACTTATTATTGCTTTGAAAATAAAATGGAAATATACATAATTTGTACTGATTATGAGTTTTACAGAAAGTATGTTTAATGCATCAGTCTATACATCAGCAGTGAATTTTGTTCGAGGGACAACTGGACTCATTCGGAAAAATGTAAACCATATATATATAACTTCAAGTAAAAATTTTATCAAATTCTTATTAAAAGCTGCAGGGATCTAATGACATAAGATATTATATCCTGTTTTTATATATAAATATTGTGGTTGGTAAAGACTATCAATTTAAGCAGACGACTACTAGAATTTACATTTTGTGATGTTTTTTTAAATTAAATTAAAGCAATTTATAAATTTATCTTTTGATACGATAAAGCAAGAATTGTAATTTCGTTTTACATATTTTCTTTCTTTGGCTTTGCTTTTTATACCAGTTTTAAATAATCAACGTTAAATTACAATTTATAATTATGATTTTTGAAATTATTATCTAAAAGTAAATAATATTTAAGTTAGTTCATTTTAGTGAAATACTTCTCTATAACTTTATTAAATGCAAACAAAATGAATTCTTGTTGTGTAATTTTTCAATTATATGTTTTTAGACTTTAATTTTGTATTAAATTTCTAAAACATACTGAATATTACAGGTAATTAGCAAGCAAATCATTTATTACATTATTTTATAGTGTATTAATTAAATTAAAAAGGGATTTAGAATCAAATGATCATGCGGAACAAAATAAAGAAAATATTTAATTTGGAGTAGGTTCCTTCACGTACATAATAATTGTGGTGAATTCTATATTCCGTCGCCCTTTTTCAATTACAATGTATTTAC